TTTATTCTGTCTTGTCACAAAAGCAACTGATGAATAACGCTACATGTCAGAAATACTTTAAATACGAGGTTACAGTACAACTATAGTGTTCCAACAAAAACAATGTTTAGAAAAGCCACACTAACCTGACTGTGAATCCCTGTATTATTCTTGATATCTGATGTGAATACTCTGGGGAGGATGACAGAGAGAAGCCTTTCAGAGCGGTCAACAAGCTGAGGCATTCCTAGAAAAATATTCTTGCCTTTTTACTAGCCTACAGTATTTCATCATCAGTATCTATGTTAGATCGCCTAAGCCCTTATGTGAGCATGATTTATGTTTTTGTCATAGGCTGTTCTTTGTACTTCATTGTGATACACTGTACGGATGACGGTTTCTCACAACAGAAAAAAAAGATGCACATACAAAAAAAGCAGGCAGAAAATGAAACTGAGACTTCAGAAATAAACGTTATATTAGGAAGAGGAAGAGGAAAAAGAGGAGGAAGATTAAGATTCCCTTAACACCCATCAGCACACTTTTGTTGACTGTTGCGAGAGCTGTTGAGTGCTGCTGATCAGTATGATGATGAATAGCTGGAGCACTGATGTGATGTGAATACGCAGCAGAGCAGAGACGAGAGGTACTGTAGATGTAATTGCTCATCAGTGGAGCAACGCTGTAATTCTGAAAGAGGAATCCTGCAATCAGAGGCCTATTCATTAGCACGGGGGCCTCATTTCATCCGTAAGCACTTGAGCCTGCCAATCACAGGGTAGACGCATGACATTATGACAGAATGAGACAGTTCTAACTACCAGAGATGCTTGTGCATGGAGAACCATGGCTCTAAACCCTCTATTCTGTCTGCATCAAGCTTTCATGCTTTTTAGAGAAATAGATTTGACAAAGAAATATCTCATTTGCATTTATATCTCATTTTGATAGACTGTAGCCCAGAATATGCCTGATTGATAATCATCTGCTTTTTATTCTACACAAAGGCAGCTCTTTGTATGAAATAAAATAAAAAGGTAGTTTAACAGATTACATCTAGTAAGGCACAAGAAAGGCAAATCAGATACATTTAGCTGATAGCACTGCTTATTGATGGTGTCTCGCAAAACCAGTCACCTCAAGGAATTCACATTAAGGAATGAAGAATTGTTTTTTATTTCACTTGGTTTGATTGTAGAGGCGTAACCAAAAAAGTGACTTTGAATACAATGTAGAGACATAGTTATTAAATTGTAAAATAATTATTATTGAGTAATTACAATGAAAATTTACTTCATGTTAAGTTCCAAACTGTTCAACTGTTGTACCTGACTGTTTTTCCATCTCTCTCTGTAATCAACCACATCTTGAGATTCCATTTCCTCCTCCTTGTCCTTGTTTCGATGTGTCAATGTCCACTTCATTGCTCCACTGATGTTGGGTGGGATTCATATATCCCCTGAACCACACCTGGCTCAGTCAAAGCATGCCCATCTCTAATTAAATCTTCAATAGTCAAATCAGAGCACAAGAGAAGCAATTGTTGCTGCTTCTTTCTACAGTATATACCCCTCTTTTTAGTGTAGCTCTGGTTTCTCTGTCCCTCCACACACAGTGTCACTGGGTCAAGGAACATGTAGTCATACAGTTGAAGTCGGAAGTTTACATACAATTAGGTTGGAGTCATTAAAACTCGTTTTTCAACCACTCCACAAATTTCTTGTTAACAAACGATCATTTTGGCAAGTCGGTTAGGACATTTACTTTGTGCATGACACAAGTAATTTTTCCAACAATTGTTTATAGACAGATTATTTCACTTATAATTCACTGTACCACAATTCCAGTGGGTCAGAAGTTTACATACACTAAGTTGACTGTGCCTTTAAACAGCTTGGAAAATTCCAGAAAATTATGTCATGGCTTTAGAAGCTTCTGATAGGCTAATTGACATCATTTTACTCAATTGGATGTGTACCTATGGATGTATTTCAAGGCCTACCTTCCAACTCAGTGACTCTTTGCTTCTTGACATCATGGGAAAATAAAAAAAAATCTGTCAAGACCTCAGAAAAACATTTTTAGACCTCCACAAGTCTGGGTCATCATTGGGAGCAATTTCCAAACACCTGAAGGTACCACGTTCATCTGTACAAACAATAGTACGAAAGTATAAACACCATGGGACCACGCAGCCGTCATACCACTCAGGAAGGAGAAGCGTTCTGTCTCCTAGAGATTAACGTACTTTGGTGCGAAAAGTGCAAATCAATCCCAGAACAACAGAAACGGACTTTGTGAAGATGCTGGAGGAAACAGGTACAAAAGTATCTATATCCATAGTATAACGAGTCCTATATTGACATAACCTGAAAGGCCGCTCAGCAAGGAAGAAGCCACTGCTCCAAAACTGCCATAAAAAAGCCAGACTACGGTTTGCAACTGCACATGGGGACAAAATCGTACTTTTTGGAGAAATGTCCTCTGGTCTGAAGAAACAAAAATATAACTGTTTAGCCATAATGACCATCGTTATGTTTGGAGGAAAAAGGGGGTGGCCAATGGGTCTTCCAAATGGACAATGACCCCAAGCATACTTCCAAAGTTGTGGCAAAATGGCTTAAGGACAACAAACTCAAGGTATTGGAGTGGCCATCACAAAGCCCTGACCTCAATCCTATAGAAAATGTGTGGGCAGAACTGAAAAGGCATGTGCGAACAAGGAGGCCTACAAACCTGACTCAGTTACACCTGCTCTGTCAGGAGGAATGGGCCAAAATTCACTCAACTTATTGTGGGAAGCTTGTGGAAGGCTACCCAAAAGGTTTGACCCAAGTTAAACAATTTAAAGGCAATGCTACCAAATACTAATTGAGTGTATGTAAACTTCTGACCCACTGGGAATGTGATGAAAGAAATAAAAGCTGAAAGAAATAATTCTCTCTACTATTATTCTGACATTTCACATTCTTAAAATAAAGTGGTGATCCTAACTGACCTAAGACAGGGAATCTTTACTATGATTAAATGTCAAGAATTGTGAAAAACTGAGTTTAAATGTATTTGGCTAAGGTGTATGTAAAATTCAGACTTCAACTGCATATCTAACATTCGCTGTCTCCTAATGCAGCAAGAACATGTTCTGGGTAGGTTTCCCATTAGCACAGATCTAGGATCAGCTTACTCTCTCAATCCTCACCTAAACCATTAGGAAGGAAAATGCTAACCTGATCTTAAATCACTGTCAAAGGGAAACTCAACTACTCCTACTCCCAAGGGCACCAATGGTTGGTCTATTGCTTGGGATGATGTGGTTATTGAATGTATGCCCTCTTGTGGTGAAGAGTGGTCCCTCTGAGCATGCATGTGTAGGTTGATGCCCCTAGACACTGATCTAAGGTCAGTTATGCATTCTCCCCTCCCTAATGTTTGAAGATCGATTGAGTTATGCTGATCCCAGATCTGTGCCTGCGGGAAACTTTGATAATAGAGGGCCGGTGAGGCTGGAAGCATCTTCATTTCAATTGGTCCTATTGGCATTTACCAATACACTTAAAACATTTTGAATCCTTGAGATTCTCAAACAACAGACAGAAACCTTACAGTAAATCCTCTTCTTGGTCAAACATACTTTGCTGGTGCTGTCATGCATCAAATTCAAAACACATGTCCCTTCATTGAATGCCAACAACAAGATTCTTTGATTTCAAGTGAATTCCCTCTGACAGAATTACAGAGAGAGAGGTTCCGACTGGGATGCCAGATATGTGAGCTCCAGACAGAGATGTCTGTTGCTGATATTTTATCATGGTAAAATACCAGCCGATGTCACAAGCTAGGAATGATTGCGGTTTCCATTTGTTCCACAGTATGTGGCAAGAGTATCAGAGCAGGCTAAAGAGCTGTTTACTGGGAAGGGATTTAGCTATAGTGTATGTGTGTGTGTGTGTGTGTGTGTGTGTGTGTGTGTGTGTGTGTGTGTGTGTGTGTGTGTGTGTGTGTGTGTGTGTGTGTGTGTGTGTGTGTGTGTGTGTGTGTGTGTGAGTCCTGTCAGAGAATTGTTCCTCTCTCACTTTCACTGCTTATGATAAGACCTGTTTAATTAAATGTGCTATTTCAAAAGAATTGTGATTATGTGAGCTGAAAACACTGTATGCAATATGAGTCTGAACAGGTTTGTTAATTGAATTACTGTTATGTATAATCCGTGTTTCACTTCAATTTTATAAGGCAAAGAATAACAGGTAGTATAACATGTTGAAGCATTGTTCTGCTTTTTATCAAGGTGCCATTAGCTGAATTTTTCTCTCATTTTGTCAAATTCTAAGATATCAAGGAAAACTGACCGTCGACCTTCTTGAAGAGAGCATTAAATTGGAAAGGTGGGAATTGATCCAGTCAAAGTGTTAAAACAGATAACTGACTGGGGTCCCTAACAAAGGAAACGGTCAGGACTATATTTTCCTGAGATTATTATTCCGTTTTTTGCCACAAATGCAGCTTGAGTGCTGCCAATCAATACAACAATTTCAGATTATCACAGTTAAATTGATTTACGGAATTAAACAGAGTGCTAGATCAATACTATCCACAGAGTTAAACGATTTAAATGGTTCTTGCCATCAGATTGATTGTTGCGGCCGTTAAACACATAGGGAGTAAATTGGGGACCCTCAACCTGTAGCTTCATCATTACATACCTATGAATATTGGTGTTAAATATAGGTTATAAAGGATACTTGGCCTTTACCGGGTGTCCTAATGGATTTAATGTTGTTCAATGAGTGTAAGGTGCTTCTATCAGCGGGGTGAGTGGGTGGGTGTGTGGATGTGTGCACGTGCGTTAGTGAAATAATAAGTTAAAATGTGTATTTTATTTTCAGCACAGCATTCTCCCTATTACACAAGAGTATGGGATTTAAATCCTTCATGTCTGGCTGAAAAAACAGTGTTTTATTTCTATGTGAATTTATGTGAAATTATCTATTTTTCAACAGATCTATTTTTCCAACACTCTTTTAGGCACATTTTATTACATCGGTAAAATATATACAATTTACAATAAATGAATTCTTTAATTTGAAAGCATTTTTAAAAGTGCTTCTAGGTGAAGTATCTTTTTGAATAAATAAAGTGACACAAGCTGTCCATTTTACAAGCAAAATAAGTAAATACAACACACAAAACCGTCTCTCTCTAAACACACAAGATCAGAAGAGTGTTCATCCTCACCTCACACAGAAATACGTAGTCCATGCATGGGAGGGTTTTATACAGGAAAACAAGCAGAAAAAAGTCATATTTAAAACGATTGGAAGAGTCTTCCTGTTCCTCACCCTGGTCCTGGAGATCCAACTCATGGATGGGTGGTGTAATCTGGTCCTGATGATTACCACATTTGTATTGAACTGGGATGTTTTTCCACCTAAAGTCTAGCTGTGTTTATAAAACCGTCAATCCATTTGAATATGTGATATCTCCACCTCTGCAGACTATGGAGACAGTAAAAGTCCTCTTGTATAGTTAAATGGAAGAGACAAATGTTGAAATGTTCTCAAATTTTTGGGATGGAAAGGTCCGCGAGAGAGACGGCTTGTGGAGGAGGTGGTCTCAGGGGCATTACTTAGTGGCTGATGGGTAACTGTGGTAAGGTCATGCCTGGGTGGATGAGGTGGTTAGGGGACGACAGCATTGAGAAGGGATGACCTGTGCACAGGAAGCAACAGAAAAAATAATAATATATTAAACGCAATAACACTAAATACATCCCACAAGAAGCCATAGGGGATTTGAAATTGAAATCCACTATGGGCAGAATCATATATTTGATAATGTTCATTGGTAGAGTAAAAAAGTAGAAAATTCTGTTAGAGCCAAAGTCACCTCAATGTACATGTATGTTTTGTCCATCGAGAGGGAGGAACCAACTCACTGTCTATATATCCATGCAGAGCCAGCAGGTGTGGTCTGTCAGGACTGCTGAAGGGGGAGTAGAGGTTGTCTGGCAGTGAGGGGGCAATCTGGAGTGGGGGTAAGGGGCGCCCTGGAGGTGACCGTTGTGCTGGGGTGGAGGGTGCTTTTTATGCCTTGCTCTGCAGTTTTGAAACCAAACCTATTGAAAATGTAACGTTACTAAAGATCGTTGAATGGTGTATGCAAGAAGTAATCTGGTAAAGATTAATTATTTTATTATATCATATTATCTATTTTATTACATCTTACATTCATTTTCAATATGTCTAACAACATTACACCCACTAGTTTGATATTATCATACATACTTGAATGACCCGTCTGCTCAGTCCTGTCATGTCTGCCAGCTTCTGTAGGGTCTGGGTATCAGGGTTGTTGTCTTGGTAAAACTGAGACTGCATCACCTGCGAACACACAGAGCAAACTCAGTCATGAAGCTACATATTCATCTGAATATTCACTGAATCAAGCGAATTCAGTCAGACAGTCACATTCATCTAAAACTACCATTCACCCTGTCACTCCGTCTCTCTCCGTCACACACAAATACTGTGGATACTTTCACAGACACTCACACACATAAACACACACCTACCGTACCTGTAGTTGCTCAGCGCTGAAGGAAGTGCGTGCTCTCTTGGCTGGTTTGGGTTGGCCATCCTGATCAGAGGGCAAGGCTCCCTCCAAAGTGAGACATGTCCCTAAGTCCCAGGAACAAGAAGGAAAGAAACATCACCACACAGTGTAATATTGTTCATTTTATAACTAACCTGAAAGAGATCATACACATGCAATTTGTGCAGGTGCTGGATATCAAAACATAAATTCCTAGGGGTAAGACATGTATGACACAAATTATGTCTGAATTCTTCCCCAATACAGTTTCCCTCAGGGACGAATCCGGACTTGAGAATCGCATACATGGCTCATATTTGGGTTCCTTACTCCCTGACATTGTCTGAGACACCCGTCTGAAGACGTACCGTTCTCTGCCGCTCTCTGGAGGTTCTCCACCATGGTGTCGTAGTGGACTCGACACAGCACCCTGCCCTCCACCAGACCAAACTCCTCCCCTGTGGACAGCTGCCTCTTACAGGTGTAGCAGGCGAAGCAGGCCAGGTGGTACACACTGCCCCGTGCCCGCCGCACCCAGTCACTGGCAAACACATGGCGCCCGCACTGGCTACACTTGGTGCCAAACCTACTGTGATGAGACAGAGAGGAGAAGGGTGCATTGTTAGTAGTCTTTCACTGCTACTAGTTAAAGTAAATGTGTAATCCACGGAAATGTTTTGCAGGCCAGAAATAGAAAGAAACTCTTATTGTAAAAGATTACCTACAGCATTGCTTTTCCAAACTAATTTCACTTTAGTCAAATATAATTGAGCCTACTGTTCATTAAAACAATAACAGCAACAGCAATATGATAACAATAAATATATAATTATAGAATAATTATAATATAACAATAAATAGCGTTTAATTAGTTGACATTCTACAAATAGCCTATGTATAACGAAAATGTGAACTTTCTGTGAGTGAGAAAACTAGCCCTTCATAAATTAAACAATATTTTAGCAATGGCCCTGGTCGAAGGAGGGAATGATGTATTGATAAATGAAGAACAACGAAAACGAATGGCTTAAATTTAGTGATCTCAAAGTTGTAAGAATCATGATTGAGAGTAAACATTTTGATAATGTCCACCACATTATCAGTAAAGACAATTATTTAAATATATCTAAAGAAGAGAAAAACATTCCGAAGTAACTTTGACAAAAAATGGGTATTGGGTGTAAAAGTATGCATATTTATGATGTTATAAATGGGCTATGGGTTTATTCGGTTAGCTTCGTTAACAGATTTGCATTTGTTTTTGCTTTAATAAAGGTCATGCGTGTCATTGAATTTATGTGATTTAGATGTTACAACGACAAAAAAATGTACAGTCCAATCCTGTTAAATTGCCCCAAGACATAACGAAAGATTTGTCTTGACACAATGTATTTTTTGTAAAATAAAATCTATATACCAACGGAACAGAATATGAATAGGATAGGCTCAATATGGTCAATCTTGAAAGATCTCCCTGCAATATGATGTGATAAGTAATCAATTGTTTGTGAACATTAGAGCCAAACATAGAACATAGCCTACATTTTAAGGAAAACAAATAGCAAAATTTACCCTACCTGAAATAATCCAATTTGCAAAAGATTTCTTTGTTTTTGATGTAGCAGCTATTGTGCTGACGTAATGATACTCTGCAGACTGAACACTCCAGACATCCCACGTGCCAATTCAAATTGTTTACCTGCCATGAGAAATAAATACTCGTAGTAATGATAATAATAATAATAATAATAATAATAATAATAATAATAATAATAATAATAATAATAATAATAATAATTTGTTCGGGGTACTTATTCTATAAAGTGGAAATAATGTGAAAGATTATGCAAATATGCATCCAACTTGTGAGGAAGAAATAGGGTTGAAATTGAATCGTAAATGATACTTGATTTGACCGGTGTAATAAAAGGCATTATAATGCTCACCTTCAGTAGATATCTGTCTTGGATCTCTGTGCCGCAGCTGGCACACTGGTTTTTCCCGGTGGACCGAACCGGCGTCGGGGAGTCCAGGGTCGGAGGCGAGCACATTGACGGTGTTACCGGAGGACTGGGCAGGAGAGGAGCCTCGACTTTCACATCCTCGTGAGGCTCCCCGTCCGAGTGAGACTGAGGTTTGGGATAGATTTTTCTTGTCATAATCTTATAGCGCCCGGGATGCAAGGTAAAAGGCCTATAGATTCGTATGAATTACATGACAAGCCCTCGTAGGATACAAGAAAACAAACATTGTATAAAGTAGGCCTAAATGCAAAAAAATGGCTTTCTACAACATTATGCTACTGAAAACAAAACTTTAAATGCCTGTCACAAAAGTAAACTATGAAAATGGGGTTGGGAAATTAAAAAAGGTAGTCCAAGTTCGGCCAAGTCTCCTATGATCATGTCGAAGTTCCTATTTTGATTCAATAAAATCATTGATGGCTTATGTTTTAATAACTCACCATTATTAAGCTATTCTGTTTGTGGAGAAACAGCCCTGCAGATGAAGCCTGGAGCTGCGCCTGAAGTCTGCTCTGAGCGCTGCTCTGCTTTGCGCATTAGGCTACGCATCCCTACCAACCCATACCGCAAGCTATATCCGGTGCAAAACAATGAATAATACTTTCTCCGGCATTTAAATCCTGGCAACAAAAGATAATTTTGATGAAGCAATTAGAATTAGGATTTCTTTTTCCCTTTATGCACAACCCGAAGGCTACCTCCTAAAATAATCGCATAGCCTAATAGATCCCATGCAATCGAAAGTACTGAAAAGATGGACTACCTGCAATTAGTGATGGCTTCAAATGCTCGAGATTAGAAGTAGCCAGAGTGTCAATTTCAACTGTCAATCAGAGAAGGCATCGCGCCACCAGAATAATTGCATATTTTTATTTTAATAGCCGTAATCGAAAATCGAATTTCTGTACACAAGACTAGGATGTGAAGAGGCTCTTGAACATCGCACTATTCATAGGAGACAATGTACATAACTTGCAGCTGATCATGAAGCATAAAGGAGCGTGATTGTCTAGGCTTCGTTTATGATAGGCCACTTGAAGCTCTCTTGGTGATTATAACGGTATTCAAGAGTGCCAAAAATCTGGGTTTGGGTGGGATTCAGAATCCATTTTGGCCTTCGTTTAAACGAAATTAGGCTAGCACAAATGTGAAATATGTTTATAATTGTCATTAAACATAGGCTGGAGCGTAGAAAACAAATAGCCAATCGGCTAGGATATTTCAGAGAGCAGCGACAGCAAATAAGTATTCACTTGCAAAGAGTCGATAGCCTACACAGCATAGGCACATTCTCAAATTATATGTCATGTGATTTACCTGCTCAACGAAAACATTGTCTAATAAAACTTTATTCTCCTCCGGGTGTGGGGACAGAGCTTCATTTTTCCAGTACATGCAGGAGACCCGTTAACACTGTTGAGAGACAGGCGGTATCCAAATCGGTCCCGGGATGGGTTCAGTAGCGAATTATGATTTTACTCATGAAAAATTACAAACAGCAAAATGCATTTTCCCTGGCTCCAAACTCCATAAATATAAGTTGTATTATCTAGGACAGTTAGCCTTTTTTGGGTTAGCCTATTGCCACTGCCTGTTGGTGTTTCTTTCCAAGATACAGTCCTTTGCATTATGTTGTTGAAGCTGCAGCCACTTTCTCTGAATTAGCCCAAATCCAGTGAGCCGTGGCGTGCGATATATCCGCATGCGCTGAGTTGGGTAGGCCTATCCCGCGCGCTCTGCACGGTGTCAGTCGGTGCGTTCAACAAATTCTGCGACCCGTGTCCATTCAAGAAAGCTCTTGAGCGGCTGGAAACGGGCAATCACTAGTCCTTCTGGCACTCCCCCTCCACCTCTTCAAAATGGAAGTTACTCCCCGTCTGCTTTGAGAAGAATATGAATAGGTGGGTGGCAAAAAGAGCAGAATTCAGAATTTTTGGCATGCAACAGATGCATAAATATGAGATATACAGTTGATTAAATAAATACCATAATGTAAAATATAAAAATGTGGGTTTAGAAAAACGTAGAACATGTTTTTTCACATTCACATTGTCTGCAGTATGCATACTTGGGATGATTTGAGGATTGAATCAGCTGAATGCATACATTCTTGCTAACCCAAAAGATACTGAAAATGTTCAAATACACATAATATCAAACAAAAAAATTTGGTCTACTTATTTGGTCTGGTTTCTTAAATTTAAAAAATCCCTCAATATAAGTGGACATGTCAGAAGTGTGTGTGTTCCATCAAAGGATGCCTCCCCATAAAACCATGCCTCCCACCTTTCATGTAGAGAGAACACACTGCAAACAGTGTTCAAAGTGTTTGTGAGGACATTGAGTGTTCCTTGGAGGTATCATGTGTTGCACATTGGGATCGTTTCAGGAACCTCCATTGATTTAGGCCTGCTTACTTGTTCTGAAAACAAATAAACAAAGGTGATTAAGTATGAACTGGAGGAGCGTCATTGTCCAGAGTGTTAAAACAATCTATTCAACTGTTTCCCAGTGGTGTTTCAATTCAGGGGAGTGTCACTTTCCCAGACTCAACCTGCAAGCCATCCATGCAGCTCTGTAATGGCACAGCATGGGATTGTCAGTAACAGGCTTTTGCTGTCTCCTTCAGTCCTTCTATATTATGAAGTAGAATATTCATGCAATTAACTGTAACCTATGATCTTACTGTAATACATTCAAATAGAATAGATGACTCTCTCTTCTCTGTTTAGTCATTCTGTAGTCTCGGAAATCCCAGACCTATGCTGGAACATTGTTCACATTGTGGGAGGCAACCCGTATGCCTAAAGAGACTAGTCATTCTGCACTGCATCCATTTCTTCGATTTTGCTTCTTCAGCTGCTGCTCTAAGGACTTACTGTAAATCAACGAAATCATGAAGTGTGTTAAAAGATTGGCTGTAACCTCAGATAATAGGAAAGGTCACTGATGGGGATGTGTCACCTGCTGCATCATGTGCTGTTCTGTGGATGTGAGAGATGAGGTGCAGTGACATGACCGTGTTCCTGTAGAATATATCTGTCCATGTTCCACATAGAAAATAAGTATTCAGTCCCCCACCTCAAAAACAACAACCTGCATAACACATGCTGAAGCCATCACAGTCACTGAACAGGCCCCAGTGGACAGTCCATGGGTCAGTACGTCGACGATGGATTACATGTGTCGTTGGCTCTGTGTGAACGCATGCGTAAGATGAAGAGGGGTTATTTGAGGACGATATTTATTTGTGCGTTCAGTGCTTAGAGGGAAATTATCAGCATTAAGGAGGCGTTCTATTGTTGCTCTTGGAAAATAAGTAAGCTTGAACAACATGTTCTAATCTGTCAGTCTTTCAGTATGTAACAGGTAAACTAGGTTCTTGTTGAAGCGGTACATCATTATTTGAGGTGACAGGGGAGAGATGAGATTCAGACCTTTATGTGAAGATATTACAGATCCTCTCATCAAGATAGCTATTTTCTCTAATGCCCATTCCTGTAGGCTACGGTATATGCTTTGTTCTGAGTGGGTGAAACAAACAGCCCCATCTCCTGGTTAATACCAGATATCACAGATTGCCACTGCACAATCAATGTATTACTAGTGTAGTCCAAAACTGTTATACTAGTCTAGTACAGGATTTGCAATAGCTTTCAGCTCAGGTTTACTGAAAAGTATCTAATTAAAGTTGGCCTCTATATCAAGAAATGTTTCAGCAGTTTTTGACCGGATGTCTATGTGGATGTCTATGTCCCCAGCATAATGTGGAACAAGGCTCACTAAAGTATGTTGATGTTTCCTGTGCAGTTGAGGTAAACTCAGACCCCTCTGTAACGTTCGAGGTTTTTCCCCCTGATGGTGTCGATTACAAACGTCCTGCACACACACACACACACACACACACACACACACACACACACACACACACACACACACACACACACACACACACACACACACACACACACACACACACACAGCCTAAAGCCAAGTGACAGAATGACAGATGCTCTGCTTGGCATGTTTGCTGAAAGAAAATGTTCTGGGAAGGAGGCAGCGAAGCCCAAACCCAACACTGGACCCTTATCTTGTTTCTGTAGTACCTCTGCCACTGTGGGCTTGTTTCACCATACAACACACTGAAAACATTATGGAAATGGAAATGATGGGTGAACCAATGGGTGTTGGCAGTTGTATTATGTTCATATTTTAATTGGTCAGTTATTGTAGAGCAAAAAAATACACGTTTGTTCTTGCTTACTTTACATTTTTTGAATTCAATATATTTCAGTCAGCCCCCTTTTGGGTACTTTTTTGGGTAAGCACCGCAGCTCATATCCAGCTTTTTCTATATTTTTGGTTTGGTGCGGAGATTTCTGAACTTTATTGTAATGGAAATTACTCAAAACTGATCTCTGATAAGTAAGCTAACTAATGAGTGGACACTTGTTGCCTTTATAATGACATATTGAATTGTGTCCTGGTACAGATGCTGGCCCATGGTTGTCCATGGCCAGTAATAAGGTTAGTTGGGTCGTTGAAACATCCCCATGAGGAGTTTACTGTAACACTGGGCTGGCGCTGCTCTCAGAATAAAAAACCTCTAGATGAGGTCCTGCATGCGGCCAACCTTTCAACAAACGAAGGAAATAACACTTTACACCAACTCTCTCTCTGAAGCATTGTTGTACTGTAAGTGGACAAAAATACTCTCCAGTCATTAGACAAGTTTATTTGAACGACAGACCAGGATAAATGGTGGGTTTTTCAGCACTTGGGCTCCATATGACAGCAATTTAAGGGCATTGTGTATCTTGGCCCGAGTCGGGAGCCCATGATGGATGACAGCAGAGAAAATCACCAGCCGCTGGCTCCAACACAGACATGCAAATTGCTTTCAGCTGATTGCTTTATTTCAGTTTATATTTATCAAGTGTATTACAGTATGCCTCCGTGTTTATGACTAGGAGGCAGCCGATAGGTTGGAGCTGAGCTATAAGGAGAGTTCATGTTTTTTATCTGAAGGATGTAAAATATACAGGCTGTAAGTGGACTCTGTAAATATGGTAATAATTTGTCCACTCGTTTTGGGGGTCCTGTGCAGGTGTCCAGGTGACTAACTGATGGACTGACTGACTGTCAACCGCTGTGGTAAACATTGACACAGTTATTGTATTGCAGAAATCCTGCCTTTGGTAAACATACAAGCCCTAACCCCAGCCCCAGTCCTAACCACAGCCCTAACCCCAGCCCCGGCCCCAGTCCTAACCTCAGCCCCAGCCTCAGATATGTGTGGAGTGGGGTTGGGGTCAGGGGTCAGCTACTTACACAATCAGGTAACTAGCTTCAGGAGGAAAATTGTTTCCTTCCGACACTTACCTACGGTGACCTGAGCAATTCACAGTGAAACAAGCCCTAATCAGAAGAAAAAACCCTTGGGTCCACACGCAGCATGTCCAGAATACACCCTGGCACTGAGCAATCCCCCTCAAAACAGGGCGTCTTTGAGTTCAAGTGTTTAAACTGTCAGATCATATCGGCTCAACTTGGAGATTATTTGTGCAGCAGGCCATTGTATGTTTGTTTTAATGCCGGCTGCAATATCCTGCTCCTCCTGTTGATCCTAACAACTCAGAGTGTATCAAATCTAGCACTGTCAAGGAGAGGTGGCCGAGGCTTGACACTCTTACACTCTAAACAACCAGAGGGAATACTCAAGGTGGGACAGGAAGAGAGGAGTGTTTATAAGAGTGGGACTGGATAGAGTCTGTAACCTGGACCACAATCAGAGTCATTTCTCCTCCACAGCAGTTGAGTCCCCCTGGTCATTTGCCACTGTTGAGAAGGAGATGAAACATGTGATACCAGTCTACACCCTTCAACTGCCCAGCACAGGAATAGTTATAGGCAATTGGACATTTATCAGGGACTGAGGGGCAAAGACGTTAATTGACAGGCCATACACTCTCTGTGTAGAATTTTGGACACACATCATGAAGTGATATAACCCACAGAGTAGACAACCAAAGTGCTACAGCAAATGAGCAACTCATGTTCTTCTGTGTGTATTGTGTTTTGATGCACACTGAGCAGAGACAATCCCTAAATGACTGCTTCACTCATTTCCTTTGAACGCCTTACCCCAGGCTCTTACGGCACGGCCTTCCTCTTGGAGCTCACATTGACTACATTATAATGAGGGGCCTCTGTGTTTTCTTACAGTGAAGTGTGCCAACTATCGGACAGATGATAAATGCGCACAATACTGGCTCCCCATTCAGCCTACAGATCATTACACACTACACACCGCAGGACTGGGTGGGGGATGCTCCTACTAGCAGCACTATATTTTGTTTGGTGACGATATACTCTTAGGCTATACGTTGACTAGA